GGACTGTCCGGTTTGGCCAATGTACATGGCAGAGGGGCATTGCTGGCACATGATGGCATATATAACATTAGTGGATGTGCAGGTGAATGAGCCCTTGATGGTGTGGCTGATGTGGTTGGGTCCTCTGATGGTGTCGCAAGAGTAGATATGGGGACAGAGTAGGCAACAAGGTTTGCTACAGGGATTGGTTCCTGGGTTGGTGTTTCTGTGGTGTGGTGTGTAGTTGCTGGTGAGTATTTGCTTCAGGTTGGGGGGTTGTCTGTAAGTGAGGACTGGCCTGCCTCCCAAGTCTCCTGTTGACACTGTGATCCACCAAAACCCCCAGCTCCTTCTCAGCATGCTGCTGCCAAGCCAGTTATCCCCCATTCTGTATTTGTGCATTTGGTTTTTCTTCCCTAAGTGTAGCACCTTACATTTGTCTTTGTAGTATTTTGTTGTCTATAGCCCAGTTCTCCAATTTCTCAAGATCCCTCTGAATTTTAGCTCTAGCCTCCAAAGTATTGGCAAAGGCCCTGCCCCCCAGATTTGTGTCATCTGCAAATTTGATCAGTATGCTCTCTATTTCTACACCCGAGTGTTTCATAAAGATGTTAAACAACACTGGACCCAGAACAGACCCCTGTGGAACCCCACTTGAGTCCTCCCTCCAATCCCACATCATTCCATTTATAGTTACTCTTTGTTTGCAGTTGTTTAACCACTTACGTATCCACCTAATGGTAGTTCCACCAAGCCCACATTTCTCTAGTTTACTTATCAGAATGTCAGGGGGGACTGTGTCAAAAGCCTTGCTGAAATCCAGGTATATTATGCCCACCACATTTCCCCTATCCACCAAACCAGTTACCCTGTCAAAGAAGGAAATTAAGCTGGCTTGGCATGATTTGCTCTTGGAAAATCCATGCTGGCTGCTAGTAATCACTCCTTCATCCTCCATGTATTCGCAAATTGAATGTTTTTATACATTGCTGTAATAGCTTCCCAGGTATTGAAGTCAGGCTGAGTGGTCTATAGTTCCCCGTCTCCTCCTTTTCTCCCTTTTTAAAAGATGGGCACTATGTTATCCCTTCTCCGGTCTTCTGGGACCTCTCCTGTCATCCATGCGTTTGCAAATATTATTGCCAGTGGCTCTGAGATTTCTTCAGCTAATTCCTCCAGTATCTTGGGTGAATAGCATCAGGCCCTGCTGATTTCAATTCATTCATTCAAACAACAGTTTTCAGTTAGCGGTCTGAAGCCCCCTGGCGGGCAGTGAGCAGGTTTCAGGAAGTCCGCCAAACAAGGCTGGTATTAGACTCACTGGGGGCCAGAGCAGAAAGCGAAAGCCCCACCACCCGGGACTGAAGCTGAAGCCTGAGTAATTTAGCTTTGTGGGGCTCCCTGTGGTGGGGGGCCCTGGGCAAGTGCCCTGCTTGTTATGTGCTAATGCCGACCCTGGCTTTTATATGCAGGAAAACGGATGTTGTGGCACAGGTGGGACGTGGAGTTTTGATAGCATGTTGGGAGGGCCTCAGAAAAAAAAAAAAGCAGAGAACCCCTGGGTCAGAAGATCTGACGTGTTTTTACTTATTCCGATCTGCATCCCTTTCCCTTTATTGTCTATGGTATACGTAAGCTGAGATCACGACTTAGAGTATGTTTTCCAGAGAAGTCGAGGGAGTCCAGTTTTTTGGCGATAAAGGGCAAGCTGACGTCTCAGCCAGGTGTAAACACTCCTGACGGGCCATTACTTGCCAAACGACCATCCTTTGGCAGGAAAGGGGGCAGGGGCAAAATGAAATCTTAGCAAAGAAACGGCATGGAGTTCCCTTCCACACCGAGTGCTTGTCACCTTGCTTCCCCATTGGAAATGCTTCTCAAAAGAAGGTACCCCTACGCCTCCCTCCCTTTCTGTCCACTGCATGAGAAGGAACAAAGGAAGCAGCCATTAATCAAAAGAAGGGGTCCTGACCTAAGAAATTTGGCCAGCAAGACTGTTGAGAGCATGTGGTGAGAAAAACTTTACTTTGAATTTAACATAGCTTGTTAAGTTAGGCACTAGTTGTGTCTTGTCTTTATTTTTCTTGTAACCATTTCTGACTTTTATGCCTCATTATGTGTAGTCACTTAAAATCCATCTCTTTGAAGTTAATACATTACTTTTATTGTTTTGTCTAATCCAGTGTTTGAATTGAAGCATTTGGGAAACTCCGTTTGGGGTAACAAGATGCGCGTGCATGAATTCTATTAATAAAGTGACGGATTTTATATACATTTGTATTGTCCAGTAGAGGGCTAGGCAGTACAGGACATACGTTTCTGGGGGGAAATATAGGACTGGGAGTGTGTTGGGGTCACCCTGCAATATAGCCAAGGCTGGTGAGAGCCAGACTATAACCCAAGTGTGGCTGGCAGGCTACAGTTGCACGCAGGCACTCAGGCTGTGGCTTGCATGCTGGAAGACTGCTTGTGAGCCGCCCCGGTGGGAACATCTTTTGCCAAGGCATTGTAAGGCGCTCAAGGTTGCAGGGCAGGGGTGACTCAGCTACTCATGAGTGTGGATTATACCCTGGGTATGTCACAGGCCTCCATTGTGCAAGGTGCTGTACAAACACAGAACAAAAAGATGGTCCCAGACCCAGTTTGTTGCAGTCCAAGATGTATAAGACAAGAGACGACAGAAGGATATTGCATCTATTACTCATTTATTAACCCTGCATAGACCTTCTATACATTTCTTTTATATAAAGTATGTGCTAGGATCTGGCTACTCAGACCTTCGCAGCAGCTACTTAAAGATGCCTATTGAAACAGAGCCACCTTTCCCGGAAGATATTTAATAATTAAAGGGAGTCGGCGGTGGGGTGGGGGGGGAGAAAGGAGGGCAGGGAAGAATCTAACTCCTGCAATATCTTCCCTCCCGCACAATGTCAGCTTGAAGGCTGAACTCTGGGCAGACGTTCTTTTTGTTTTCCTTTTTTAACTTCATCACTTTAAACTTTATTTGCTTGCTGAAGACAATGGCTTTATCTTCCAGCCAGATCCTTATGTTCCTCAACCAGGTGTGCTCTCCTGCAGCACTTTCATACCATGGAGACTCAGCTCCTGACAAATAATGAGCCAGGAAAAAGGAGTCTGGACTTGACATAATGATAAATGAGGTGAATCTTTTTTTTTCCCCCAAGAAACCAGGATTGGTGCATAGAAAAAAGAAGGGAGGAAAAAAGACGTTTCTATTTTAATATGAAATATAAAACATCCATTGTACAAAAGTAGATTTTTTCTGAAGCAAAGAAGGAGTAAAGATAAAGGCTACAAGCGAATGAATGAGGAGAGGAAACTAAGATAATGCAGTCGATAATCAGTTGAAGGTACAGCATTATCTGCAGGGCCATCGGTCCAGCCCTAGGGGAGAGCTTCTTTAAAGTTTCCCTATATGCATTTTAGTCTGCTCATTAGCATACCTAGCCTTTGAAACTCATCAGAGTGGTTCCGACTGGCTACAGTGACACCTGCTGGAGAGATGGGGAGGCCCAAGTTAATCGGTTCTCCATCTGCAAAACATAAGCTGGAAGCGCTGCTGGTTCCGGCCGTGTTTGGGTGCACTCCAGGCTGCTACCTGCGTAATGTGGCTATTCACAACAGCACAGTATTAACTTACATACCGTCATTTAAAATTAATGCTGGAAACTTACTGGCCCGTTCAAAGAGGCAGAGAGTGTCTTTTTGCCCTGTGTTTGCATAGTGCCTAGCAAAACGGTGTCCTGGCCAATGAGGGGGGTCCTCAGCACTACAACAATGCAAATAATAAATATTAAAGCAAATGAGAATCTCTTAGTTGCACCCTTTAGGAATCTGAACCTTCTTTCTTACTGCCCTCTAAGATTGGAACAATTATTATTTGTCTTCCAGTAGTGTTTAAAGGCCCCAATTGGGATCAGGGCCCTATTGTAATAGGTGCTTTGTCTACAAATAGTAAGAGACAGTCCCTGCTCTGAAAACTCACAGCCATCTTATAATAACATGTAAATAATTGCATTTTTAATACAATGGGCCCCAATGATATTAAACTTAATTCTTGGTCCAGGATATTGTCATATGTCACAAGGGGGAGGGGGAGGGAGGCAAATGAATAACAGGACCTGAGATGCTGACTGTCTATAGGCACTGAGGGTGTGATTCCCAAAGATATTTAGACATCTAAATCCATTGACTTCAATGGGAGAGGGGCACCTAAGAATCCCACCCTGAGGGTACAAAATAGTGCAATGAAACGCGAAACAACCACAGAACAGTGGGATCATCCAAATTATATTGCGGCACTGGACATTTTCAATGCTGTGAATGGATGGATTCACAATATCCTGGACAAAGCCTTCTCAATGGCATGAAGTGGCTTCCAATTCTAGCAGCTTAGGGATCTGCGAGACTTAGCACTGTTGGCTGATCCAGATTTCTGATTCGCTCCAGCCCTCTCAGGTGAAGCTGTGAAGGAAAGGTAGCCAGAATGTTGTGAACAATATGTTCCAGTGTGTGTGTGTGTGTGCATGCACGTGCACATATGTGTGCAGGAGCGCCACTTCCGTCTATTGGATAGCCTCAGACCCGCTCATTTATGTGTTACAGGCCACAAGGCTAACAAAGAATACTTGTTTCAGAGTGGTAGCCGTGTTAGTCTGTATCACCAAAAAGAACGAGGAGTACTTGTGGCACCTTAGAGACTAACAAATGTATTTGGGCATAAGCTTTCGTGGGCTAAAACCCACTTCATCAGATGCATGCAGTGGAAAACACAATAGGAAAATATATATATACAGAGAACATGAAAAAATGGGGGCTGCCATACTTGACTACTTGTACTTTTATAGGATCAGCAAGATCTATATGTGATGCCCACTGCTGTCATGACGTCCCAAATGGCCCCAGTGTGCAGCAGAGTGGCAACCCTGGAGAACGGATATTTTACAATACTATCTTTCCTTTAATAATATTTTCTCCTCTTTCCTTCCATGCTCCTATAGACAGGACAGATTACTATGAATACAGTGATGAATATATCCCGCCAGAAGAGAACACCGCCGCCACAGACAGAGAATATCTCACATATCCCGACTGGTTCTACGAATACTTTGGCTACAACGGTATTAAAATAGGTGTTAGCAATGCAACATTTTTAAAGTATGTTGGGAGGTGTCAGGGGTAGAAAACCCCAACCCACCATTCCAGTTCTGAGTGTGGCAAATCTCATTGTCTCACTCCCCATCTTACCTTATCCGCCAGCGTCCTCTCAACATGTCTGCATCAAAGGAATTCGTTAGGAAGGTTTGCCTGCAATGTTCTCCTTTGTATTCCTCTTGTAAGGAGCCCGTGTTTTATCTCTTGGTTTCGCAGAACGGATTCTGATCATGCAGAACGTTTCTGATTGCTACTACAAAAAGCCCCAGCTTATTTGTCTATAGACACTATGAGATGTAATTGCTGCTTTCATGGGATGTATGTTCTGTAACCAAATGTAGAGCAGATGTTTTTTTCTTAGTCACACGTTATTTTCTATTTTATCAAACTTCAGTATAGCGAGAAAGTGCCTTGAGCCAGCTGCTTGGCACCACTTCGGTAGCAGAAAGGGAACCGGAAGCTGGGTTAAAGATCCAGGTGGGAATTCTCTTTGCATAGGGGAAAAGTAGAGCTGGGTTTGCCAGATTTGAGCCATGAGCTGTTGGCTTCCCCTCCCACCACCTGGGGTTGTGGCTTCAGCAAACTTCACTCTAGTGAGCCTCTGCTGGTGGATAGCCCCTGGGGACCTCTAGCCAACCAGGTGTAGTTTAAAGCAGCACCGAGGCCTACACCAGAAACCTAACCAGCTCCCAGATATCTCCAGGGTCAGAGGCAGAAAGAGAGCAACCCCTCCTTCGCCCCTCCTACCCCCAGATGCACTGCACAGAGGTCTGGCACTCCTTTTTATCTAACCCTTTATTTTCTACAGTGCACAGTAATTTAGGTGAGAATAAGTTTTGTAGGGCCTAGCTCAATGGGGTCCCTCTGAGTAAATAGTAAATAATAATGATTAAGGCTACGTTTTAGTGACAGGTATTTTTAGTAAAAGGGTCACGGAAAGGTCACAGGCAGTAAACAAAAATTCACGGCCCGTGACTTGTCCATGACTTGTACTATATACCCCTGACTAAAACTTGGTGGTGGGGGGGTGTGGCCTGGGGGGTCGCCACGGGTGCTCAGGGAGGAAGTCACGGCTGGGGGGGGCACGGGTATTGGGGGGGTTGTGGCCCAGGGGGTTGCAGATGCTGGGAGAGGTGCTGCCTGGGGGGGCATCATAGTTGGGGGGGGGTCACGGGTGCTGGTGGGGCAGGGGGGCTGGGGCAGGCTCCTGGAAGCAGCGACCCCAGCTCCACACTCGACGTGCTACCTCCACTTTGCCACAAGCCCGGGTTCTGCAACTTCAATTGGCTAGGAACTGCAGCCAATGGGAGCTGTGGGGGCGGTGCCTGCAGGCAGAGGCAGCATGTGGAGCTAGGAGCTGAGGGACGGGAGTTCCTGTCATCCTTCTGGGAACCCCCACCCGAGGTAAGCACCGCCCCGCACCCCAATCCCCAGCCCTGAGTCCCCCCACACCCAAATTCCTGCTGCAGAAGTCATGGAGGTCACGGAAAGTCACAGAATCCGTGACCTCTGTGACAAACATGGAGCTGTAATAATGATATCTGACATCTGCAGGGGAACCTAACAACTACATTGCTCCTAGTGCCCAAACACTTCCACACTTTAGTGAAGTCCTTCATACCTGGAGCCAAACTCATTATCTTGGGGTCATCTCTGTTCCTAATGCATCTGGTCCCGCAGGCCTTATTCAGGTGAAATCCCCATTAACTACAATGGAAGTTTTGCCTGAGTAAGCGGTGCAGGTCCTGATTCAGTGCTGACTGGCTAACTGTTGTTAGGCATGCGTCTGTGCTTAGGAAGACAGCATCAGATTGCTCTGGAAGGGGGAACCTGTCAACTTTAGATCAGGGTCACATTTTGGGGGTGATCTGACCTGAGGTTCCACCTGAAACCATATTAATCTCAGATGAACATGATCCAGAAACTATCTATTATCTAAACACATGAGATTGTTGAGACTCTTCTGGCAACGTCAAGCTAAGAGCCTAGCAAAAAGTCGAGACTGTCGGGTGTAAATAAAAAGTCTCCATGCTCTCCTGGTAGATCCATGCTCGTCCAAGCCTTGCAAGAATAATGGGGAGTGCAAAAGAAACAGAAATCGCTACAGCTGCCTCTGCCCTATGCCGTATGCGGGGACTAGGTGTGAGAAAGGTAGGTGCGGCTTTCATAATTTCATAACTATTAAAGGGAGGAAAAAACGCTAGCCAAAAAGCTCTAGAAAAATACATTGCCTTTGATTCACTTCTTAGAAAGCATCTGTTTGTGAAATAATCCAAAGGAACTGATCAATGTGTGTCAGGTTTTGACTAGAGCTGGTCGACAGTTCATTGTTGAAATGTTCCAGGGGACTGTGTCGATTCCATCAAAACTTTCAGTGGAAACCAGGCAGGTGGGTAGGCAGTCTGCCTGGCTTCTTGCTAGCTCACCCACCCTCATGACTTCTTGGCAGGGCTTCTTGGCTTCTCACCTGGCAAGTTGCTGGGGAGCCCAGGTTTCTAGGCTCCCCGGGGTGGTTTGGTAGCTGGCCAGCTCCTCAGGCTTCCAGGCAGCCAGCTGGTAAGCCACAAAATTCCATTTCAGTTCTTCTGAAATGGATTTTTTTGTACCCTTTTCTTCCCATGAAAAATTTCAAGATGTGTTTTGTTGTCGTTGTTCCAATTCAGAATGGAAAAAGAAATCATCGTTTTGAAATTTGTCACAGGAAGGAAAATTCCATTTCTGCACACCTCTAGTTTTGAGGTTAGATGCTTAACAGGCCGTAGCAACCAAAGCTATAGCTAAAAAGGGCGCGAGAGATTCAACTGAAAGTACGTCTAGCCTGGTGTCTATGGGACTCAACACCTGTTCAGTGAATACGTGCATAAAATGCGAGCAATTAATCTTATCTTGCTTTTCTGTTTTATCTGGCTCCACCACAGTGAAAAACATGTGTGAAAGGAATAGCTGTAGTAAAGGAGACTGCCTTATATTGCTGACGCCACCTTATTCTCAGTGCACTTGTAGACATCCATACAAGCCACCATACTGCAACAAAGGTGAGAATAACATCCGAAAAAAATCCTACGTGTTTGTATGTTCAGTAAGTGGGCATGGAGCCTGCGCTACCTGCTCACCCCAGAGAGGTGGTCTCTCCAGGCAGAGTCAATCTGGCAGGATAGTGCTCGGGAAAGCCTCTGTTTCCTGTTGAATAGTATGTGTTACGCATCCGCTCTGTGACGGACCCACCAAGGATGAGTCTGTTGTATCTCCCAGCTAGGGGAGTAAGTCCCTGAGGGGAGTCGGTTACTGCCAGCCAGCTTCTAGCAGAATAATAGTGCTGTTTTATGCTTTAAATGTTGACAGTATCTTCAGCTTGCAAACCAAACCCATGTAAAAATGGAGGCGTCTGTCTACAGCAGAGAATCAGATCAAAATTCTCCTGCCAGTGTGCTGAACCCTTCAGAGGGAGGTTCTGTGAAATAGGTATGTCAAGATTTGCCTTTTTTTCCCCAAGGGTGGGGAGAAGGTAATTATTAGGCTGCATTTGCGGCTTGGAGGGTCAGTAAGTTTGGCCACCCCTGACTCTAGGCCATTATCCAAATCATTAATATATTGACTAGAACGGGATCCAGGACATATCCCCGGGGGACCCCACTCGTTATGCCCTTCCAGCTTGATTGTGGACCAAAGCAAGGTCCAAGCCTGCAATCAGATTCAGTAGCGCAGCTCCTAGACCAGGAGCCCAAACACATATCCAGGGTAATCCTGGACTCAGGAAGGTTTCAGAGGACTTCTTTAACCTATCGTAGGTTCTCTGCCCTCCCCAAGTGACTAGCAATAGGACGGTCAAGTTTTAGCAACATTAACTCCCCACATTGCTGGGCAGGCACAACCAGTTGTCCGTAAGGTTTCCCAGGGCTTTTATCATCCCCCTGTGAACTTTCCTGTACAATCTCCCTTCCTCTTCAAAAAAAAATCTTTCCCAATTTCCTCTCTCTGGGGCCCCCTTCAGGACGTTTTGGGGTTCACCCAGGCCAGTAACGCGTTTGGTCACTGTCTGCCTTGTAACCCTTGAGTGTTTTGTGGCTGTGAAGCTTTGGCTCAGAACTCTGACCCCAACAACCAGAAAGCCCACCACAAGACACATAGGGTTACAAGGCAGATGGTGACCAAACCCTTTACTGGCCTGGGTGAGCCCCAAATGTCACAAAAGGGTTCCCCACTCTGATGTTCCCTAAACTGTGCTCCAGCCATTCCCCACTTCTGGAAGAGTGTGACTGAATGAGGGTGCAAGGGCACACATTTGTAAGGGTAGGAGCGCGGGAATCGTAATTTCTCTCTATATGTATATTAAAGGCTTCAGACCAACTCCACGCACACGGACAACCTTCTCATGAGCACTCCTCATTGATATAATTCCTTCATTAACCTTTAACCCTTTCCTCTTGCCGGTGTGTCCATCCTTCTAGCATGATACCAACTCTGTGATCAGGTCTGTCCATCATGCTGGCACCCTCTGCTGTCCACAGCTCAAGTGGCAGGTTGCTACAGGAACAGATTCTGACCAGTTGCTGACTTTGTAATAATGGAAGCTCTCCAACGCTACTTTGCTGAGCTGTTTAGAGCATGAGGTCTCAACCTGGGAGTGGCAAATAGGTTTCAGGGGTTTGCAGTCATTTTCACTTTCCTTATAGCTAGGTTGGAGTCGGGGGTCCTGAAACTTTTTTCCATTGTAACTTGGTGTTACAGTATTGATGTGGTTGAGAATGTGGCTTAAGGTTCAGTTATTCCCACCTCCCTCATCCAAGACTACATTTGGTCCAGTGGCTCACTGAACCTAGGGGGAATCATACATCAAGATCTTGCAACAGGCATGAAATTAACCCATGTTGTCCTTGGTGGGTGACACATCTGCTGTGCAGGAAATGAGCAACAGGACGGACCTTTTCGTATCAGCATTGTCTTCTTGTAGGACCAGAGGACTGTTATGAACAGGATGGCCACGAATACAGAGGGAAAGTGAGTCAAACAAGGGCTGGGGAGACATGCCTTCATTGGAATTCTAACCTGCTCTTGGACGAGAGTTATAATGCATTTATGGAGGATGCTGAGTATTATGGCATCGGTGAACATAACTTCTGCAGGTAATCTACTGAAGCTACATATGTAGAGGTCTCCTCTCTCAAAAAATGTGCAGAACCCCCAATGATTCCAGGGTGAGCAGCTCATAGGGAAGTACAGGGAAATCTCCAGGGGATGTAAAGCTGCCATCGCCTGCTCTACGCAACCTGCCTTGGACATAATGAGAGTGACAAGGTGGGTGAGGTAAAATCTTTTATTGGACCAACTTCAGATGGTGACGTACACAGACTCTTCTTCAGCGTCTGACATAGTGGACATTCTGGAGCACCCTCTAAAGAGTTCTGATGCTCCTGTCCTGGAAGAGACCACTCTAATTTGCACTAACCTGGCCCCTAGCTAGTCCCAGGGTCAGGAGGGTGGAAAAGTGGCAGAGAGTCACCTATGCCACCCATCCGCTCAGGTGTGTCCCTTGTTAAAAATAAAAATAGCTTCTAGAGAAGCTTGGATCTTTACTTGGAGCATTTAGCTGATCTGTTATGCACCCTTCAATCCAACGGTTAACCGGTTCTCCTGGAGATTTCCTCACTCTGATTGGTGGATGTTGGAATCTGTTCCCTTCAGGAATCCAGACGGTGATGTAAAACCCTGGTGCTTCATCAAAACAGATAAGGTGAAATGGGACTCCTGTGACGTTTCACCCTGCTCAGCAACAGGTAGAGTGGAGAATAACACTGAACCTGCTCAATGAGGCTCAGAGGTGTTAAGGGCTTTCTCTTTGCCCTTCCCCGGGTTCTTGTCATGCAGATAGAAAACAGAAGACCAGAAGTCCAAAGTGCAGGCAATGCAATGTTTATTGGGGAAATCAAGCAAACATATAAATAGCTCTGTACGCCACAGAGCCTTTCCCGTGTTCCCCTCCCCTTTCCTAGCAGGCATAATTATAACTGTAGTGCACACCCTTGATCCCAACCCTTATAATTTATGTCATGTTCTGTTTTGGAGGGTTCTTGGGTCTGGGGGCTTCAGAACCACCTCTTTTGTATCCCATGAGAGGAGTAAGGAGTGAGGTTGTGCTTTGGTCAGGGTCAGGCATTTCTTTGGCTTTTAGTGTTTCTTAAACCTCCCCCCACCCATCCCCCTCGCCTCTCCCGACTGGTTGCTTGACCTTATCTCAGGAGAACAATTGAAACAGGACTGTCCTTCAAGTGTGCGCTCGTATATTAAATTCCCACTCTACCCAACAACACTTTAATTTTATTTCTTATCTCGTTTTTACCCCATCTGCTTGCGGGCAGATGTAACGCACAGTGTCTTTGTTCTTTGTTCACACATATTAGTAAGAATATAAAAATATCAAAAGTCAAATGGGCAAACAAGACCCAAAATTCTATCTCAGGCAAAACTCGCTCCTAAGCTTCCAAGAAGCTCTGGCAGCCAATCACCACTGCTGAACAGTGCTGTAGATGATCCTCCAAGTGGCTCCTACAGTACATCTGGCAGGATTTCCAATGTTGCTCCCAGACCCATGTCCCCCGTAGTGTGTCATAACACTTCCAGTCTTATAACTGTGCCAGACATTCCCAACATGCATTGCCTTGTCCATTCCTGAGATTTATAATCATTATAGCAACTTCAGTCTACGCCTGTAGCAAGTTCAGTCTTATGTCTCCCCTACAGAAAATATTCCAGCGACTACAGTCACCCCAGCTGTTCTTCCTGTAGTGGGTAAGACATTCAATACGTGTGGACAGCCAGAGGCTGAGAGAACGCTCAAAAGAATTTATGGTGGGGCCAAGACCATGTCTGGCAAACATCCCTGGATGGCATCTCTGCAGAGCAAGCGTCCATTGAGGCCCCCTATGCCAAAGGGACACTTCTGTGGAGGAGCGCTGATTAAACCATGCTGGGTTCTCACTGCTGGACACTGCATTCAGTAAGTGCATTACCTGTGTCCTGTTAAGCATGAAAAAAATCATAGTAGTTATTTGGCTGAAATTTATCTACTGGAAACCGTTGCTAACAAAGTGCCAGATTGAATTTTTTTGATGGAAAATGTCAATGTCAGCAACGTTTTCTGATTAGTGTTTTTTAATGGGAAAATTCCAAACAAAGCATTTCAATTGAAAGTGTCAAAAATTTTCATTTTGACATTTTAGTGGAAATTTTTCTGAGCTTCCCAGTCCATTAAAATGTTTGATATTTTGATATTTTTTTCGTTCTGTTTCAGGATAGAAAAAAAAAGTCAAAATATCAGAATTTCCTGCAGGATGGGATTTCTGTGTTCTGAACCGCTCTAATAGCATTATAGAAATACACCTCTACCCCAATATAACGCTGTCCTCGGGAGCCAAAAAATCTTACCGCATTATAGGCGAAACCGCGTTATATCGAACTTGCTTTGATCCGCCGGAGTGCACAGCCCTGCCCCCCCGGAGCACTGCTTTACCGCGTTATATCCGAATTCGTGTTATATCGGGTCACGTTATATCGGGGTAGAGGTGTATATGGTGTTGTAGCCATATGAGTCCCAGGTCATTAGAGAGAAAAGGTGGGTGAGGTAATATCTTTTATTGGACCAACTTCTGGTGGTGAGAGAGACAAGCTTCTGGGCTTACACAGAGCTCTTCTTTAGGTCTGGGAAACGTACTCAGAGTGTCACAGGGAAATACAAGATGAAACAGATTGTTCAGCATAAGTAGTTAACACATGTTTCAAGGGACCATTCAAGGTAATGTAGCCCGTTAACACCCCTCCAGTCATAGGGAGGAAGGGAAGTGGGCAGGAGAAAGACAACTGCAGGGGGCAGGGAGAGGGGGTTGTTAATGGGTTATAGATTGTTATAATAACTGCTTATAGAAATGCTGAGTACGTTTCCTAGACCTGAAAACGAGCTGTGTGTAAACTCAAAAGCTTGTCTTTCTCACCAACAGAAGTTGGTCCAATAAAAGCTATTACCTCCCCCACCTTGTCTCTCTCATTGAAAGATGGAGTCAGATCCCCAGCTAGTGCAAATCAGCATTCACTTCAGTGGAGCTACACCACTTTGTCAGCTGGAAGTAAAATCCTAAGAAGTTACTTAGGACTCGTATTGGGGGTTGCCAGGGAATGAAGAATGAGACGGTAAAGGGATGTTGTTACCAGATAGTTATAAAATCACAGAAAATTTAGATCAAAAACGCCAATTAAATCATCCAGTCCACTTCCCTCCCACTGCATGAGTGTCCCAGAAGCTCATTAAAACACGTTGTCCCTTTCACGCCTTTGCTGCAGTTGCTCAAAGAGGATCTGACTTCTGCTTCCAATCAAACCCTAGTTAAGTTGAAACAAGGTTATACCATGTGTACAGTACCCTACAGAAGGGGCTGTGAAGTGAGAGAGAAGGAAAGAGAGCGGATATTTCTACATGGAATATAGGGAACTCCACTTCTAGAGCCAGTACATAAATCGACTTTCTTCTCAAATTGGATTACAGTTCAGAGGAGTCAGTTTCTGCTTGATTTAGCTGTGGTTGGTATTTTGATTAAGATCACATGCTAGCGAGTAGCTATGTACAGGAGGTTAAAAGGATATTATAAAAACATGTACTGGGCATCCCCCCCAAAAGGTGTTACCTATGAAATTCTCTCCTCCCTCCTCTTACTCTTATGTAGTGTAGCTAAGGCAGTTGGCTGACGTGTTGGTGTTTTTATCACACCTTGCTGTAGGACCGATTCAAGCCTTCAATTAATTCCTTGGGGAAATGTTATCCGTATCTGAAGGGGTCCCCTCTCTGAGGGTTTTCAGCATCTGCTGGAGGGAAAGAGGAGGAATGTAGCAAAGCTTTCTGGTGGTTGAAAGGAAAGTCCTCTGAAGACCTGGGGTTGGGGTCGACCACATAACATGTGACACCACACGCCATGGCATAAGGAAGAAAGCAGTGAGAGCTCTAGAATAGCTATGCTGTGATTTTTGCCTCCTGTTGCTAAACACCAATTAGCCTCTGCCTGGAATACTAGAGTTCATTTTCAGAGGAGCTTATGCCTCGCGGGTGTGTAGAAATCTCTAGGTAGGGCACGTTTGGAGACTGGTAAATTACAAAATGCAAGAGGTCATTCCAGCATTGTTGACTTGCTCAGCATTCTGACTGCCTGCATTCTAAGCAGGCCTGCCGACGGGGGTAGGGGGGCAAAGTGGGCAATCGCCCAGAGGCCCGGGCGATTTAAAAGGGACTGGGGGCCCCTGGCCCTTTTAAATCACCCATGCAGATCACAGGGCTCCTAGGCGCACGTGACTGCTCCGGGCCCCACGGGCCAGTGCAATTGGCCAGCACGGTCGGTCCCGAAAGTGACAGATTCGTCACTTCCACCCCGGGCCCCACCCCCCTTTAGGGACGGCCCTGGCCAGCCCGGAATTGCTGTTAGTGGGCCTGATTCTAAGCACCAGAGCTAAAAAGTTCAGCAGGTGATTTGCTTTAATTTTTTTTCTTCTTAGATTTCAAGCAGACAACCTGCAAGTGTCCCTTGGAAAGCAAGACCTAGAGAGGACAGAGTACCATGAACAAAAATTTGATGTGGAGAAGATAATTCGGCATGGACATTACAAAGAAAGGAACGATATTCCATTCAATGATATCGGTAAGCTCCCACAGTGTTGCAACATGCGTGGCAAACTCTTTGACGAGGCATTGTTGGATGGACCTTTTCACTGATGAAAACTGAGGTGTGGTTTCTATGGGCTGCACCTCTCTATGGGACTGATCCTGCTCTCACTGAAATCAACGGCAAGACTCCTGCTGACTTCAATAGTGCAAGGACAGGTTCTAGAAAAGATGAAGCCAGTGTGTGATTATGTACAGTGTAGACATTCTAGATTTTCAGGATGGTTACATAAACAAGTAGGTACATAGTAGAAGAGGGCAGCATCCAGTAACAGGTACAAATAGTAGATTTCGGGCATTTGCACAGTGCACATGTGTACATTGTAGACTGATAAAGATGAAAGGGGATTAAAATTAATCAAGGTATTCTTTGTTACCCTGTGTACAGCTTTGCTTAAGCTGAAGCCAGTTGATGGCCATTGTGCTCTAGAAACGAAGTACGTAAAAACAGTGTGTTTGCCCAATGCTCCATTTCCTGATGGGACTGAATGCTACATCTCAGGATGGGGAGTTACTGAAACAGGTAAGATATTTGATGGTTGGCTGATCTCAGTTATATCCATATTAGCATAGAGTAACTCTCTCAGCAGAGTTGCTCTGCAATTCCCTGGATCAGAATCTAGACCCTCGTATCTAAAATTCAGATTAAGCAAAGAAATTTAACCAAAAACTAAGCATGTATTAACCTGTCTAGGTAAAATAAGTATTGACTTGAACCTTTATCCAGTATCCAAACCTTTCTGGGAAATCTGAGAAAACTCCATTAACCTTTTTCTTTGCCACCTGACACAGCGCTTCTTGGCTTCATTCAGAGCCAAAAATAGAAGCACCAAGGTACCGTGAATGAGGCGATGCTTTACTTACAGTATTTCCAGACAGGATCAGGTACTGGAACTCTTGCAAGTTTTCCATACCTATTAAGCTTTTGATAAGCAGCATCTGGATTTGTTTGATGCTTCTACAAATCAAACATCCAAATCATTTCAAGTTCAAGCAATTCTACCCAAAACATTACTGCAGCCAGTAACTCTGAGTGGGAATTATGCTTTTTTTAAAAAAAGATAATGGCAATTTTCTGAAAAATGTATTTTCTCATGGTCTGATTGATATGTTGCTGTAAAGTAACAGAAGGACAATGTTTTAGGTGTCTTAGTACTTTGCAACTGATAGTCTGACACATAGGGCCAAATTCTACCTGTTGATGTAACTCCCATTGAAGTCAACAATAGCAAAGCATGCCCATTTGTTCAGAATGCGCCAATAGAATGTAATGGATAGTTTAAAAAAAATATCTAAATTGAGCAGTTCTTCTATTTTTTTTAATTGTTTATTTAGAAAACCAATTACCTTATAATTGGGTTCCAATTGGCTCTCTTTGTCTGAAATCTCTGAAGAGAATTATTATTAGCATTTCAGGAAATCACTGAGACGGTGAAATGTTTCCTGTAACTCTGGAGTAAGACCAAACTGATAAACCACATAAAGTACCCTTAAGTAGCTTCAGATGTGGTGCTTGGAATCGGTGGCTATCACCTTTCGATGATCTGTTATGTCTTTAGGGTCCCATTATCTCCTTTAAATATTGTATGATTTTTACCTTGTTTGTCTTTCTCATTATTTTGGGTGTTGAAAAATATATAGTGGCTTGATTTTCAGAAGTGCTGAGCACCTACAAATCCAATTTAAGTCAATGGAGGCTGCAGGTGATCAGCACCTTTGAAAATCAGGCCATTGAATGCCACTAGCAAATGTGTAGATGCAATGACCAAATCCTGTAGACCTTCCTCTGTCTCTAGTCAGGCAAATCTCCCAATGACATCAATGTTCTGAGTGAAGTTCTCAGGCACGGGCTCTAACTAAATTTGTATAATTTCAGACAGACTCCCCCTTACCCCATCCAAATTACAAACAAACTCATAGATTAAAAACATAACATGAGGTGGGGAAGGGGAAGGTGACTTTCCGCATTTTCCTGGCACACATCTTGTAGGTGAAGGATCTCGTCAGCTGTTAGATGCCAGAGTAAAGCTGATCTCCAAGACGCGGTGCAATGCACGGTGCGCATATGATAACAGACTGGATGAAAGCATGCTTTGTGCAGGAAATCTGCAGGCACCAGGAGTTGATACTTGTCAGGTTGGTTGCTTTTTCTGTATTTGAACATTAATTTCTCTCTTTAAAAAAAAAATCACATAAATAGTCAGGTTGTGCAGAGTAATGGCTCTGGCAGAGTACTACATATGTATCTGTTTCTCCTATCAACACATTAAAACAGCCTTCTTCTTTCTTCAGTGTGATTTGAGAGACACATTCCTAGAATTAATGTCATCACTATCAGTGACAAAGAAGGTTTAGAGGTTCCATTGGAAAAGTTCAAAAGTTCAGTTGCTTACCCAGAACTCTTCTTAATGCAGATACCTTCGAATCTTTTTCTCTCTCTCTCAAATCTATCAGATTCTTCTTTGTCATGAGCACCAGCCCCCCAACTTGATCTTCCTCATCAGATCTCATATTCATGGGGGAAGTCAGGATTGATTTACTCTGTTACTCTGGTGTAAATCTGAAGCCACTCCAGAGTTGAACTATTGTAACACAGCAAAACCTGGCTCAGTATGCCTTTGGGGTTTTTCCATAAAACCTTTAAATGAAAATAACAAAACTAAAAACTCCCTTTTACAGATGTTTTGATACACAAGCTGAATCTGCCCGTATAGTTATGAATCAAGGTTATGACCAGAATGCCAAGCGACTTCCATTCATGACTCTGGAAATGTCGTGTGAACTTGTGAGATTTCTGCCAGTTTGAGCCAAAACTTCACAAGAACAGTTTGAGTTTTCACTGTCATTTTACCAGAATCTAGAGAAGTGTCCTACACCTAATCAGGATCTAACCACCACCTCCTTAGCACATCTGTATAAAAAAAAATCATTCAAAACCTCAAAAGCTTGTGCTTGAGAGAGAAATGTTGTTGTTGGGCAACATTTTGCTTTATTTTAGAATGCAAAGAATGGCTCTTTTTTTTTTTATTCTCAGGGAGATTCTGGAGGTCCTCTAACCTGTGCACAAAATGGTTCCTATTATGTCTATGGAATTGTGAGCTGGGGCGAACAGTGTGGCTTAAAAGATAAACCAGGAGTTTATACCCAAGTGACAAGATTCCTCAATTGGATTAAATCAAAAATTCAGCAGGAGTCCAGTTCACGCGAGTAAGCGACACTTTCTGGAAAGGCAAATGGTAAACCTGAGAAATTTAATTTTCTTTATCCCTCCTCCTCCAACATTATTGATGGCACTGTGGCCATGACAACATATCCCAGATGGTGGTGGCTATAGAGAAAATAGCAATAGCTGCTGCTTCAGACCTCATGCGTCAACGCAAATTTCAATCTCCGGTGAACAGTACCAATGTATGTATGTAATATTCAGCTGAAAACTGAAACTCCCGTAGATTCTTTTAATGTCTTTTAGTGACTTAAAGGGCCTGATCCAAAGTCCGCTGAAGTCTTTTGGTGGATCAAATATAAGGAACGAGAGCTGCTCTGCTTTGCCCAAAATCAGTTGGGGGGCAGAGATAGCTCAGTGGTTTGAGTATTGGCCTGCTAAATCCAGGGTTGTGAGTTCAATCCTTGAGGGGGTGATCTGAGGCAAAAATCTGCCTAGGGATTGGTCCTGCTTTGAGCAGGGGGTTGGACTAGATGACCTCCTGAGGTCCCTTCCAACCTGGATATTCTATGATTCTAATTGGACAGTTATTTTCTTCTGAGATTTTTGTCTTCTAAAACACTTATGCATGTGAACAGCTTTGCACCGCTCAGTATTCCCATTGACGTCACTGGTACTATGCACATGCATAAAGTTACTCACATACATGTGTTTGCAGGCTCAGGGCCCAAGTTGTGTATCTCCGGCGGTCAGCAAAAGGATGTAAAATATTTCTATAATGTAAATCTAAATTATTTCAAAATAATTTCAAAAATGTTCAGGATTTTTTCTGTTTTTTTCCACTTTTCTTCTTTGTATCTGATGATAGCTGAATTATTTACTAAACCTAGATTATAATCTCTTAATTGTTAGACATAAAACTGGAATTTCATTTTACAGATAGAATTGCGTATTTTTGTTCAGTTATTCTGCAGTCTTTAAGGAAAATTTGGAAAATAGGGGATTGACGTTAATTCTGAGATGGAAGCATGCCCACTGGTTTATGTGAAGAGTCGGTCTGCAAAGTGTAACAATGTCTCTCTCATTTGGGTATTTTTGGCTTTTTATGGTTGATTATAAACCAGTGGTTCTCAAACTTTTGTACTGGTGACCCCTTTCACATAGCAAGCCGCTGTGTGTGAGCCCCCCCCCCCCTTATAAATTTAAAACACTTTAACACCATTATAAATGCTGGAGGCTGTCAGCTAGTGACCCCCCCATGTAATAACCTCGTGACCCCCTGATGAGGGGTCCCAACCCCCAGTTTGAGAACCCCTGTTTTAAACCTCATGCCGTTGGGATGGTCTATAAACAGCCCCATAATCCATCACAAGCTATTCCCATTGCAATAACTTCGAACCACCCTCTTCAGCAGAAGCCTCAGGTACTAATTGTGATCTCTGTCAATCAGGGATCACTCCTCTGAAGTCCCTTAAAGAATACGACCCAATTAATCAATGCTAATTTAACTTCCATCAGCCCTTGCCTTGTGCATATTCACCCGCCAAGAGATTTTTAAAGCCTTATCTTGTGTCCTTTAATGTCAAGGTGCCAATAAACCAGGAACCAATTCTAAAATATCTAAAGGTATCATTTATGGAAACAACTGCATTTGATTTATTCAATACAAATGATTTTACATTCTACAAATCAGGGCTTATTAATCTTTAGTACAAAGCTGAGCCTGCCAGTCATCTAGTACTAATTTCATTGACAGCCATAAATAAATACCATACTTTGTATTACATACACTTATAAATCACTTGTCTTAAAGTATCCCCCCAAAAATATAAAGATCAATATTAAATTGCAGGGTCTGTGTGGTTGTTATTTTTTAAAAGAAACGGAAATACACCAATACAGTTCTTAGATGCCATCTACTGTGCTCCTTAGTCAGGAAAGCGACAGGACAAGCTGAAAAAGCGAAACGTTTTCATGTAAGCTGCAGTGCTGCCTCATCTTTCTATTCATTTCTTAAACAGCTGCATTTTCCTCCGCTTGACTTGCAGAATTTCTGAAGCATCAGGGTTGACGCTGACCTGCTGGGATCCTCCTGCCTCTACCCGCTCCTGCAAAACCAAACCAACTAAGTTGTGGGGAAGAGCCAACATAAAAGGAGTGTTTTATTATCCTGTCACGGCTGAATTTAAAAAAATCCACCTGGCACAAAAATGAGCAAAATAAGGATTAATACTGCACTTAGGCCAAACTCCTGCCCTTAGCTATGTGAAAATAGCTAACATAGTTGTGTCGCTGAGGGCAGAATTTTGCTACTGGGTCCCCATTTCTAATTTACACCCTAAATAAGGAGCAAGCAGTCGAGAGCGATGAGGAGGTGTCTCTGTGAAGGGCAGATGAGTCCTAGGTGTGGGACTCAAGAAGTCATTCTATGCAAGCTGTCTTATTCAAGTAATAGACTTATAATTATTCCTCCCTCATCACTTTGCAGATGGGGACTATACGATGTGTGTCTTATATTTCTCTTGGGCTGGTCTTGTTGCGAAAGATAAACTTTAAAAGAAACAAAAAATGAAAATGGAATGCTGCCATTTTATTGGAGCATAATATTTAACAGTATCCAGGACACTACCAGGGTCATATGCTGCTCTGCCATGCAGCGGTGTGAGGAAAGTAACAAATTAGGGGCCAAATCTGAGAATGGGGAGACAGGAAATGCTGGAGAATCTCCACCCTCCCACTCCATGCGTTAGGGGCTTTAATCCGCTGCTCCTTCTAGAGCTGCAGAGTGCTGCATGTTCCCCCCACATCCAGGTAGATCTCGAAACAGAAATCATCCTGCAGTTACTGCCATAACACTGCTGCAAGCCCACCTAAAGGGGCTTTCAAGATAGCTGTCAGAGGGGATTCAATGGCAGAATAGTTCCTAAAGGCATCTTACTGAAATTGGGGAAAGGGAAGACCAGGGGAGCCATGCAGGGACTCTGAGCCCCCTGCTCATCATGAGTACCAAGATCCCTGTGGACTGAAAGCCATCCATAGGACAAAACCCTCTGTGCATTCCACAGGGGAGCCAAATCCTGTCCACCCTATGGAGTTTCCTAGCCCCTCCCTGGAGGCTGACCTTCATGGAGAGTGACCTGTGCTCTCCTCCCTAGAGGAGATGCCTCTAGATTAGGGTTGAGGCACAGTGGTAGGGTTGTGTGGGGGAAAGCATGAATGGACACTGCCCTTGTTCTGTGGTTAAATAACAGGGAGACCGCAGTCTCCAGGGCCTCCATCTGGTCGCTTTCACAAGCGCTCAATGGGATGACTGCTCAGATCCTGTCTAAGGGGCTGTGTTGTGTCAGAGGTTTTGTGAGAAGTGCGGTTTATTCCACTTACCACTCCGTGTTCATATTGGCCATAAGTACCCTGAGGTGCCATTCCCTGAGCATAGGCCAGCTCCGCAGCTCTTCTTGCCATTTCCACTTTATAAGAGCCTGGGGGAGTCCAGCCAATGCCTCTGATCCAGTTCAAGTCAGACTTGTATTTGACCTGGAAAAATGCAATAGACACCATTGGGTATTATTGGGTGTGGCTCTAGTTAGACCACACACATTAAAGGTTAGACACGACCAGGGCCGGCTCCAGGCACCAGCTCAGCAAGCTGGTGCTTGGGGCGGCAGATTGTTTGAGGCAGCATTCTGCCCAATCCTAGGGCAGCACAGCCGCTTTTTTTTTTTTTTTT